ACCCGCAGGGCTGCTCGCTCCGGAAGGGCGGGTTTTGCCGCCGGAGTTGTGTTCGAACGTCCGCTGGTGTTACTAGTCGGCTCCCGAAACGCAAAGAGACGGCCTTTAGGAAGAAGACCTTGTTGTTAGTTGCAGGTTTGTGCAAAGCTGGGTGCTTGGTGCCTTCCCACAAATCAAGCACCAAAAAGGAGATTTTTCATGACGCATTTATACACAAAACTACAGAGTCGGTAAGTTTCCAAGTGCATCCTCCTTATGGTGATTGGTTAGTGGTTACATATAGTTATCATACGATTGCATCAGTGTTTCTGGTGCCATGCATGCTCAGGGGAAGGGCCTTCACCTGGGCAGAGGTCTTTTCTTATTAGCATTAAACTGAGATAATGAGCTAAGTTCACCTAAAGGACCCAATGTCACAACTTGTACATCTTCAACTACCCAAGACTGGTTTAATCTTCAATCTTCTTGATGTTGTTTCTTCTTGATCATCTTCTGCATTCCTTAGGTCCAATTAATCTGTACAGATCTGAACTCTTCTCTGCCAAGTTGGTGATTTCCATGAGACTCTCTAAACCTTTTGATTAATTGCCTTCTTCAAGGCCCAGTTATTGCAGGATGTCCTTGTTCAGTGCTGTGGTACTAATTGTGTGCCTCTCTTGACTGCAATTTGAACTTGTATTTATATAGAGAGTGCATCTTACACAAAATAACCACATCATTCTGAATTTCTGGGTTATTTTCCAACACTAGTACAGTTAACTTGAATTGGGAGAGTTTCACCTCTTGATGATCGTGATTAAGCTTAAATTTATGGTAGGAGAGCTGTAGTAACTGTCCATGATAGTGACCTGTATATGTAAGACACAGCTGAGAGGACAGAGTGAAAAAATACTTTATGGCTTTCTGGTTCAGAAAACCTAAGTAACTACAGTAGGAATGAAGGGGGAAGGAATCAGTAAGGTCTGAGACTAGCAAGAATTAAAACAGATGTTTGGAGTATCTTGCTCAAAGGGTACTTGGAACAAACGGACCTCCAGCCTATGAAACTAACATGTTATGCATATAAATATATAAACCCAACATTTTTTCTTTCCACCACTTTCACACAGAAGCTAAGACTTCCTGTTGTGTTGCTTGTTCTTTCAGTGAAAACAATTAGATGTGCTAATCCCTGCTTTCTAACGAACAAACTATAACTAAGAAACATGAATAAATAATTGCTATAGCACTGTGGAATTGAAGCTTCAATTAAAAATAAAAAATTTAAAAATTGGAAATTACCCTCTTAAGCCTGTGAAAAAAATGAAGATAAAATTATGGCAGCTTGTTTCCTTCATCCATAGGAAGCTTTTAATGGGTAGTGTTAAAATAGAGCAGCTTTCTTAGGGTGGGAGGGGAGGGGGAAATAAGTTTCTTGCCTTCACAGCTGCACAGAAAAGCTTGTAAATACAACTCAGAACCAGGAAGCAGAAATATTTTATGGAGCAGATGCACACGGACTGCCTGATGAGGCTTGAGCTGGGATCTTGCCTACTGCCGTTACAACCTCGCAGCACTACCCGGAGCACTGGCAACCCCAACTTCATGCACAAAGACGGGCAGAGCACCGGGCGAATTTCAGCGCTGCACGCCTCACCACCTTGTTTTGCAATCTGGCCTCCAATATAAACCTATCTAGAATTTATGTGCGCACCCATATTTATAAAATACTCCTGACCTCAGGGTTTCCCTGGCTTAGCAACATGGAATTTCGTGCTTAAAAAACAAACCCAGAACTCCTAGGCCGCGGCGGGGAAAGGGGCTGGGTGCGGCGGGACGCGGCGCTGCTGGCGGGGGG